GAGACGATGTCAAACCAGTTATGCAGCGGCAAAGACGTATACCATACCATGTGAGAAAGGATGTTTCGAAGGAACTAAAGAAACTAGAAGAGCAAGACATTGTCGAGAAAGTCGCCAATCAACCAACACCATGGATATCTCCAATAGTTGTCACGCCAAAGAAAGACGGAGGTATTAGACTCTGTGTAGACATGAGGGAAGCAAACCAGGCAATCGAAAGAGAGAGAAACACAATGCCAACTTTACAAGATTTTAAAGCTGAGGTAAATGGAGCAAAATTCTTCTCAAAGATTGACCTAAAGCAAGCATATCACCAGCTCGAATTACACCCGGACAGTCGATTCATTACAACGTTTTCTACCCATGAAGGACTGTTCCAGTATAAAAGATTAAATTACGGTACGAACAGTGCAGCCGAGATATTCCAAAATGTGCTACAACAAAACCTTAGCGATATCAGAGGAGTGAAAAACCTGGTGGATGATATTATTATTCATGGTAAAACACGAAAGTCACACGATGAAGCACTAGAGAACTGTCTAAAACGGCTAGCAGCACTAAACTTGAAAGTGAAAGGGGAAAAATGTGAATTTCTACAAGACGAAATTACATTCTTCGGATTAAAATTTACAGCAGCAGGAACCAAACCAGATCCAGAGAGAATTGAGAACATGGTTAGAGTACCACCTCCCAAAACTGCTGGAGAAGTTAGAAGTTTTCTGGGAATGGCCAACACTTGCCACGAATACATTCCAGATTATGCAACTATTACAGCACCTCTAAGAGAACTAACCAAGAAAAACATTGCGTTTAAGTGGGAAAATAGACATCGGAAAGCATTTGAGCAACTGAAAAAGAAACTAACAAGTACCCCAGTTATGGCATATTTCGATACAAAGAAACGAAGTCTAGTAATCGTAGATGGCTCCCCTTATGGAATTAGTGCAATACTAGCACAGAAAGAACATCACAGCCAGCAGTACAAAATCCTTTCATATGCAAGCAGAGCACTCAGCCCAGTTGAGACAAGATACTCACAAACAGATATTGAAGGACTTAGCTTAGTATGGGGAATTGAGCATTTTCGAATGTTCTTGATTGGATCAGAATTCGATGTGATAACTGATCATAAAGCATTAGAATCTATATTCAATAACCCAAGATCCAGACCACCAGCCCGCATCGAGAGATGGATGATGCGATTACAACCATTCAACTTCAAAGTCATTTACCGCAAAGGATCCTTAAACGAAGCTGACTACTTAAGTAGACATCCAGCTGTTATAGAGAGAGAACAAATAACGAGTACAACAGCAGAAGAATATGTGAACTATGTAACTAACTGTTCAGTTCCAAAGTCAATGACACTTGACGAGATTAAAAAAGCAACCCATAACGATCCAGTATTACAAAAAGTTAAGAAATGTCTGAAAGAGGGAAAATGGGATGAGAACAATCCTGATCTTAAACCGTTTAGACTTTGCGCCGACGAACTTACGTACAATGCATCAGCAGGTATACTGTTGAAAAACACACGGCTGGTCATTCCAACAACATTACAAGAAAGAGCAACAAAATTAGGTCATATCGGGCATCAGGGAATTGAGAAAACGAAAAGCCTACTACGCGAAAAGATCTGGTACCCAAATATGGACAAACGAGTGAAAGAAATGGTAGACAAATGCATTCCTTGCCAAGCAGTAGGTCACGGTAATAACCCGGAGCCAATGAAAATAACACCAACCGAAGACAAACCATGGACTAGTGTAGCAATCGACTTCTATGGTCCAGTACCCCGAACTGGTCAATACCTGCTAGTGGTTATCGATACCTACTCCCAGAGGTAGAAATAGTCAACTCAACCGAAGCAAAAACTTGCATACCAAAATTAGATACGATATTTGCCAGATATGGAATACCATCAAAAATAAAAACTGACAATGGACCCCCATTTAATGGGAAAGAATTTGAAACATACACTAAAACCCTTGGTATTGAATGGAAAACAATTACACCACTATGGCCTCAGGGTAATGCCGTCGTAGAAAGATTTATGAAACCAATCGGAAAACTTTTGAGAACAGCTGATATTGAAGGAAAGAATTGGAAGCAAGAAATGCAAAGGTTTCTACTTCAATACCGTTCAACTCCTCATCAAACTACTAAAGTAGCTCCGTGTGAACTACTTTTTAACAGACAAATTCGGGGATACTTACCAGAACTCACAAGAAAAAAAGTAGTTAATAGACACAAGAGGGCGAAGCAGAACTTGGAGCAGAAGAAAGAAGAGAACAAAGAGTACTACGACCGAAACAAAAGAACAAAGGAAGCTGGGATCAAAAAGGGTGACATCGTCATTTGCAAACAGAAGAAGAACAATAAGTTAACATCAAAGTTTGACCCAGAACATTATACGGTAGTACAACGTAAGTACAACACCATCATAGCTAAAAGAGATGGTAAGACGGTGACAAGAAACGTTTCACACTTTAAGAAGGTAGTAATGGAGGAAAGCGAGGAGGAGCAGGAAGATACAGCACCGGGAAGATCGACGGAAACAGAAGAATCACCAAAGCAAGAACCAAGTGTAAGGAGATCAACAAGAATGAAAAGACCGGTAATACGATATCAGTACCAGATTTGATGTTATAAACAGTAAAACGATATAAACGTTTAAACTAGAGAAACATCAGACAACATTGATTTACATAATTTAATAACAACATTGATTTACATAAGTATGAACACAAGGCAAGGACATTTTATTAAGTGGTTGACATTCAGTTAAAAAAAATAGAGGGAGAGTAATGTAGTATTTGTAGGATGCGATAAGTTAATAATTAACTTCGAAGCATGTAACAACGTTGATTGACATTTGTAATAAATCATCATTCAATCTATTCTATACCGGTCTCATTTCCCAGGAAATCAGCCCCATCAACGTCGCTTCTTGGGTACGAGGTTGGTCGCCTTGCTGGAGGCGAAGATTTTCCCATAGTCTATTATTAATAATAATAATAATAACTTTATTTCGAGAGGGTAGCACTGAATAGCCAATAAATAGCTAATGCCTCTTGTAGCCTGCGAATACAGACTCTGTTTCCCCCCAGTGGAATAAGCGAAAAAATAAATAGAGTCTGTATTCGCAGGCTAATAAACTTGTGGCCCTCAATTCTCAAATTCTAAACTCTAAATGTATAAAATTACGATACAAAATTATTTACAAAAAGCTAAATGTACCTGCATGCAAAAGTTATATATAGCCATAACTCAGAGGCCATAACTGCACAAGTCGTAGCCTGCATGGCAGGCGGTACGTAGGAAATACCGCCTGCCGCAAAACTGGGTGTAAATGAACTACCGCCCCTGAAGCATCAAAGCTATTTATAGATGGCATTAAGTAAATATTCAAAATTAGCCACTCCCAAGTTGCTCCCAAGTCCCAACTGCCCAACATAATATTAATTCCTTGATTCTCATCACCGCCCGACTGAATTTTAAAATCCTTGTGAAAATGTTTTATATTTTGTTATACAATATAAATGTACCGTCCGAAAAAATCATTCAAGACAGTTAATTTTTAAATATTTTATATAGGGTTTTTATTGCCATTTTAAATTTCCAATTTGAAACAAACAGAATTTTGAATGAAATTTCATTGTATTTTAAAGAAATTCAGTCATTCTGTCATTGTTCGTGGAGATACAAACTATTGATATATAAATTATATAAATATAAAATATAAAAAATAAATCTTCCAATGTCTTTGACATTTCAAAGTGTAGACTGTCTCTAGTGAGGAGAATCAAGGAATTTATTTTATGTGTTAATTTATACCACCCGTTTAGCTGCCTTAAAACGGTGGTTTAATAAGCTCACAATACAAAGCATGCAAGTCTATACTATAGATTCATCATCAGTCAACAACCAAACTGAAAGTTTTGAACCTTATAGAACGATAGTTTTTATTTGTTTACAACTATACATATTCAACGGGTATATAAGAGTTTAACTGTTATTTGATAATTACTGCATCAACCGGCCCCTAGTTCATACTTTGGAGGTTCGTATATCTATCAAGTATCTTTGGTTCAGAACATGACGGGCCTATATGAAAATCCCACCGTTCGATTCAGTGAAGAAATATCTCCTAATTTCTATCGATAGTTTTAGTAAAATGTCAACATTATTGCGATTTATGGTCTTTGAAAGTCAAGCGAGATCGTATATTATCAAATTAATACGCATGTAATTGTCTGAACGAAAATATAGACTAGCCCATACCTTTCGCTGATCATAACTTCAGCCCCTTCGGACGTATCTTCTTTGTTAAATATTCTTGTACGAATCGCTATCAAAAACACTACTTAGAGTGTTATTTTTCAGCTTGTATCTTTAAATTTGCTTCTTTTATTTAATTTGGTATTCCATTTCTGGTCTGACTTGACGTGAACTAATTTCAAAACGTCAAAACATTTGGTTAATGATTAACATTTAACCGAAATTAAGCCGTTGATTGACAACTACATAAAAATACTAACCAATCCGTTTTTTCCGTTCACCAGCGGACGGGTAATTCAAAAACCCCTAGTTTTGCGGCAGACGGTATTTCCTTTGCTTCCCTAATTTTCGCTGCCCGTAGAAATACCGCCTGCCATGCAGGCTACACAAGTCGTATCTGAAGGCGTCTGCGAGGTAGGCTAGGTGTGTGGCAATTCGCAAACATATAAGTTGGAATCGCAAATGCCGTTAATATTTAAGTGCTGGGGTTTTTAAACAAGTCAGCTGCGCTTGTTGCCACAAGTTCTTGTAATTTTTTTGAAAAAATAAACGGACTAGCAGCGGTCTAAACCATAGATATCTATATAGGCCTATGGTCCAAACTCACGTTGTGGCTATTTATAGAATAATTAGTCGTTAAAAATAAATATTTGTTCGAATTGTCAAATATTAATTGCTAGGATATTGTCCCAAATTGAGAAATCAAATTCACTACCACAACGTGTACTTATCTTTATGTGTTAGTTTGGATATGCAAGTTTTAGTTTTGGATAGCAAGTTTTCGTTTAAAGATGGGGTAAAAAATTCGTTCGGCGGATGCGCGGTTTGTTTACATTTTGAGCACGCTATATTCATAAAATATGATGTACTTAGTCACAGTAATATTTAATGTTGGTCTGGTTCGCTTTGCTTTTAAATGAATACAGATTAGAGTTTCAATTTAGATGTTGAAATACTGCTAAATTTGGGTATTGTTTATGCACTTGTCAATTGTAACTCCCACCCCGGCCCCCCAACTTCGGGGAAGGGTGGGGATATGTGGGCGTTTTCCCTCTTTTGACTCTTAGTTACGCCCGACTAGGCGGGGGATTTTCCTCTTTATGGATCTGCGACAGCCCGCTTGCAGGCTAGGATTGCCCTGTTGAGCGGAGCCTGATCTTTTTAAAGTCAATTTTATCTGGATCAGGTATAATTTTTTGTTTGCATTTAGAAGTTCTATATTCTGTTTGTTTCACTTTATAGTGACAAAATAGTTTTACATGTTCAGTTGTGAATTCATTTTCTCACAGAATAGCTGCCTGATCGCACATACTATTTAATTTACATACGCATTTAGATTTTAATATCCTGCATGTGTACATCACTGATATTACTTTTATATTGAAAATAAAAATTTTGTTTAATAAAACATTTCAAATTTTGTCCCCATGGGTTGGGGGATTACCTTATTATAGGATATTAACGACGCACTTTATTAGCGCGACATAAATTAACGCGACATCAAATTAACGCGGATTTCTTCTAGGTCTTTTAAAACATGATTATATTAACGCGAATCTTATCTCCATGGTTGACAAATTAATTAAATTAACGCAAATCGGAAAATATAGACACAACAACAACAACAACAACAACAACAACAACAACAACAACAACAACAACAACAAAGGTTTAATGTTAAGAGGAGCACTGATGTTTTTAGTTTACGTTAATATGCTGTATTTTGATATTAAAAGAGTTAGTGTTATATAAAACAAATCTAGGTATTTTTAACTAACGATAAATGAAAATTACATGGCTTAAACTTAACGATCACATAAATTAACATTAATTAAATTAACGCGAATTTTTAAAATCCGCGTGAATAATAGATAAGATTAATCAGGTCAGCCTAGTCAGGGCAATAGTTAAGTATCAATATATTAAAAATCTATGTCCCCACCTTTCCCCAAGGTGGGGGGGGGGTTACAATTGACAAGTGCATTACACCAGAGGGTCCTCACATAGCACATGCGCAGAACAGACTTGGCCTTAATATTTCCAGTCTCAAATCATGATTAACTTCTACTCTAGGGGCTCACCCCCTTCACCCCTTGTTCCGCCACCCCAACACTGGCGTAAGTGATTTATAGGAGGAAATATGGGGGGTAGTAGTAGTAGTAGTAGAACTTTATTTATCCACGCTGACCCCGTCAACCGTAGCTGATTTCCACGGGGGGCGTGTGCCAGAAAATTATTTTACATGCAGAATATGATAAGGATAAGCTAAGCTATTACAGTAATATATAAATTTAAAAGATATAACAAATGTTTTGAGCTATTTACAGGTAAGTTATATTTACAAAGGTTACCAAGCACTAATGTGAGCAGCGATTTTATTTCGAAAGGAAGAAAGTGACTTGCTTTCCCTAATTTCTTTTGGTATAGAATTCCAAATGTTTGCTCCGTCGTACATAAAACTATTTTTCATGCTATTTGTACGTGGTTTTGGTAAATAAAGACCACTTGAGACATCCCGAAGGTGGTAATTAGTTTTCTCACTCTTAAACGAAAATAGATTTGTGAGTGATTTTGGGCCCATTTTGTTTAATAACATACATCATTCTTGCTTTAGTTTTCTTCCTTTCAGTTTGGAGTGGCTCCCAGCCCAAAGTACGTAACGCAATCGTATAATCTACGTCATTGCTTATATTCAGAATAATTCTTGCCGCTCTATTTTGCAGTTTTTGCAGTCGTTTTGATTGAGTTTCGCCAAATACATCCCATACTTCACAGCAGTAGTCAAAGTACGGACGAACAATAGTGTTATATATCAAAATAAGTGTATCTTGATCAACAAATGGTTTGATCCGACGAATAGCAGAGATTCCTGCTGTAACTTTTTTGCAAATATTTTCGGTATTACTTTTCCAAGATAAATGCTGGTCAATTGTTACTCCTAGAGTTTTGCATTCATGAACTTGTTTAATTTGTATATTTTCAATGTAAACATTTGGGCAAGAATCAGAAATATTTTTGATCATAGGTTTAGAGCCAATCAACATAAACTCTGTCTTAGCTACATTGAGGCTAAGTTTATTGGCTATTAACCATTTTCTAAGGTTCTCTAAATCAGAATTTACTGCAGTCTCTAGGTCAGTCATAGAATTTGCTGAAGCAGTCAAATTTGTGTCATCAGCAAACAACCGCGGTTTTGTTTTGTTTAGACAATGTGGCAAATCATTGATGTACAACAAAAAGAATAATGGCCCTAATATAGAGCCTTGTGGTACACCACATTTAATCAAGCGCTCAGATGAAAATGAGTTTTTTATTTGGCACTTCTGGTTTCTGTTTGTGAGATAGGATTTGAGCAAAGTTAGA